GTGTTGACTAATTTTGGCTGCCTAGTGTGAGAAACCTGGAGTCCAATCTTTTTTCAAAGCGTTTTTTGAGGACATTGTGTTTTGCAAGTATCTCTCTCACTGGTCTCATTTGCAGCTGTGACCACTTGGCTTCTCTGCTGATCTGAATACAGGTGTCCTGGGGTGGGTGGCTGGAAAATGAGGGCAGCGTAGCTCGCCGTGGAAGTTTTCATTTATGCAATCTGCCCTATATTATGTTGGAGTTCAACAGCCATTTGCCAAGGATGGCTTCAGTTCCCTTAAATATGAACTCATCTTTCTCTTCTTTCGTTTTCCTACTTCCTTTATTTTATACCTTCCAACTTCTCTAATGGTGGAAGCAGGGCTATTAATGACTCATATCAATAGAAAATTTACTTTGTCCTGGACTATGGACAAAGTGAGCCATCAGCCTTCAAATGTCTGCGCTGCTATAAGGCTGGAGGGTTGGAGATGAAGAGTGAGGAAATGATGTGCCCATCAGAAATAGCAAGTCATAGAAAAATCAATAATCACAAACTCCTCAGAACTCTCACTATCCTTTTATAGCTGGGCAGCAGCTTTTCTTTATTTCACACAACCTTGAAATCCCCCAAGTACTCTCTTTTTAAATATCTCTGAGTCAAGGCCTTGAACTCTAACCAAAGGAGGAGCAGACGAAATGTAGAAGTTAATGACAAATACTTGTGACAGATAAGCATTGTCAGTCAGGATGCACAATCCATGACTTTTAGTGATGGTTAGTGGAGGAACGTTAGACTGTAGCACTAGCCCATTAGAAAATACTATCTAAAAGGTGTAACTAAAGAAGAAGAAAGCTCCTCTTTTTTGAGGAGTAGCACATATGGTGAGATAAGCATGGTGGAGTTCCATGGGTAGGTATTTCTTACTACATACATGCATTTAGCAGTGGCTGTTGTTCACCGTGTGTGCATACAGAGTCTTGCCTCGAGAACTGTTGGAGTCCATTCAGCTGTGTCCAGCCAGGCTCTTCGGGGATAGCCCACAGAGCAGCTGCTTTTTGGTAGAACATGCACAAGGGCGCATGTTCATCCTGGGTCTTTGCAATTTCTGTTCATCTTTTTTTACAGAGTAGAAATGACAGGGTTTTTTAACAACAGCCCAGTACTGTCTTACTAAGCTCTTCTGTCTTAATGTGCGCTGAGTGGGAGGGCTTTTCCTGACTGTTGGTCCCAAAAGCTTTCAGTAGCATTAAAAATTATGGCCTAAGAAGTTGAATGCAACATGTGAAGGTATAATTATGTTCAGCTTGATTAATCTTGCATGATAATTAGCAGGGTAACCAGCTTGCAAGATAAAGAATATCTTTGGAAGTGCCTGCAAGAATTTCAGTCTTCCCTCCCACTTGGCCAGCTGTGGTGGCAGTAAGGTGAAGGTTCCCATTTTGCACAGACCAAACATCACAATCTTCCTGGCCACGTTGCTCAGAGACAAGTATGTCCGAACTTGCCAGTGCACTTCAATTTCTCTGGGAGGGCGAAGGAGAGAAGAGGCAACCCAAGTTGGAGAAAATCTGCTGAGGAGTGAAATACATCCCCTTTGGCCCTGCAGTTTCAGCAGTAAGTTGCTTATCCTGCATTAGGCTAAGCCACATGATTTTCCCCTTTCATGCTGATCTGCTACATGGAAACTGAGTCCAAAACCATGGGCAGTCAAGAGCCTAGGCTGTCATTTATGTCCAGGGTCCAGTACTGGATTTGAACGCTGCCAAGGCTGGACTGTGTTCAGAAGCAGGACCTGTGAGGTACAAAGTCAGCAGTTGTTCCCCAAGGAGTTGTTTGTTTCTCCTTTCAATTTAGAGCCTGAAATGCCATTTGTTTAATGTTGCTGTTTAAATAATGATTTATAAGACTCCAAGCCAGGCATGGTACAGCTTAATGACTGCTATAATTTATGGATGCCACTGGCTACATAAACACTGCTGTAAATATAAAGGATGTCTCCCACAAATTTTACTTTGATACTTATTTGATACCATTCGTTTTCCTTTCCTTACACATCATCTGTGTGTGAGTTGAGGCCACTTGACTCAGTGATCCAGGTCATTCCAGCTCACCTTGCCAGGAGTGATTGTGGCTGGGAAATGAAAAGATCAAATGTCTATTTTTGTTACAAAATATTTTAATTAAAAATGAAATTTCCTTGAGCTCGGATGCAAACATGTGCATCAAGTGGCCCATTAAAAGGGCCATTTGTATTTGGGCTTTTTTTGGTTATCTATTTGTTTTAATCATCTCCTTTATCCAATTCATTTTGCCTTTGTGCACACAATAAGCAAGGAAACAGGAGACAGGAATAAATCACGCACTGTTACAGAGCCCAGCCATTCCCTGGGCTGCAGCTTTGCTATTTGTGTTCTCTAACCTATACAAGGAGCATACATATACGAGTCTAATGCAAATCTGAGCTAATTCAAGCCCTGTCTCTGCAGAGATGAATGAGCATGCAAATCTGCTGCTTTGTTTTGGAGGAAAAGCTCCCGGAATTGCTTGATGTCTAGTTGCCACTGACGGCTTTTAAATATGACAGTCAGTTGACTTCAGGAGATTTGTGCTCCTGGGCTGCAACAAAGACACCTGGGAAGATAGTAGGTGCTCTAGAATCCCTTGGCTCCGTTATAATGAGTGTTAATGCAATCATGTGCTTGGAAAACTGAGTGCCATTACAAAGTTAAAATGAATTGAGTAAGCAGAAAAACTCCATTGCCTACAAAAACTCCTCCTCTCAATCTCTGCATATCGTATCCCAGCAGCTGCTGGGATAAAATGCAGACATTGTTGAAAAGATTGCAGATAAACTGAGTAGGACATGAGAGCTGGTAATAAACGTGGGCATTTCTTCAAAACCATCTGTGGGGTAATTCAGAGAGACAAAAGTACTTCTGAATTTGAGTAGGACTTCAACATTTTTAAGAGTGTCATGATGTTACTAACCTTATGGAAGCACTCTGGGCCTTCTCTCTTAACTTTTCTTTAGGTGATACTTCCAGCAACATGGTGCCATATAGGTTCATTGCATACCCCTAGGAGAAGGGATCACCTGCTGAGTTACCAGAATCGCTGCTTACAGTTTCCTGTAAGAAAGCATCCGTTTGCACACTGACCTGAGTGTGACTGGCTTGCGACGTGCAAAGAGCTTTGCTTCTGACATAGGGAAGGCTCTCAGCAGTGTCTCTAAGAGTGCATTTTAGCAAGGTGCACGGCAAGGCCAAGGAGGATATTTTCTCATTGCCTTAGACCCTTACCAAGGGGCCTGCAGAAATTGCCAGCAACCAGCTCCAAGTTACTTGGTCTATTTTTTCTGCAAAGCTCTCCTCTGTAGTCAGCCTTGACCCTGACTGAAATACAAGGGCACTGTGCAGCCTGTATGCAGCAAGCCAGAGTTGCTCTAAGGCGGTCAAAAAAATCGAGCTGACAATAACACAGAGCACCATTTTCAGGAGCTGGGGTCCTTTATTAAAAAGGTTTGGCATGTATTCCCCCCACTCCTGAATTGATTTGCACCATAAAATAAGCTTGAAGAGAAATAATGGTTGTTTTCCTACATGCTTCATTAATTTTTTAGTTTTGGCAGGCAATATAAATAAAAGTATCAAGTGCACATCTAATTGAATCACCAGTGATTCCCAGCTCCCTGTAGTACCAGAGAACATGATGTAGCTGTGCTGTTTAGCAAGCACAGATGAGTTAGGCAAACAATGGCTCACTCTGCCCAGAGGCTTTGGTTTAATCTTGAGCATTTACCCATTTAATATGAGACAGAGCAGGAGTCGTTGCAGTGGGGAATTCACAGCACAGACCTCTTTGTACTTCTAGGCTTGCCTTCTAGGAGTAGTGAGCTGGAAGCTCATCTCTGCAGACAGACAGGAAGGTTTCAGTGAATTGCATCTACATGCAGATTTTCTGTGGAAGGGGCTCTTGCATTTCTCAATCTTGGCCTCCTCCATATGTACTGACTGTAGGATGCCGCTCAACTGATTCCTGCCTCCAGGTGGCTGGTCTAGAGCATGTGTCTCTTAGGACAAGTCCTTTTTTACTTTAAGTGTCTCACTTGGCTACAATCAAAGGACTCGGGGTGAAAGAATTCCTACAGTAAGGAAAGTGATACCTATCAGGCTGGATGATCTCTGACTTCTCAGCTATCAAGGGAATCAAGTGCCTCCAGAAAAGGACAGTGCTAAGGGACAAGTACTCCAGATCATTTATGAATGGATGATACTGGCCTCTGCTTGTAATGTTCACTGACTTCATAAGAGTTGGCTTCTTTCCACATTGCTAGCTGCCTTTTGCTGCTTAGCATAGGTGAAATGAATTAGTGATTTTTTCGTAACTTGGTAGATTTAGTCTGCTGTGGGCTTCCTGACTCAAGGGGAGGGGAGTGCAGGATGCAGGAGCAGGAGTGATTATAGAAGAGAAAGAAAACTACAAGCAGAGATCAGACTGTTTTCTCTCTTTCACGGAGAATATGACAACATGATACCTCCAAGTCATAGGTAATACATGTTGACAGGAGGGTCTGATGAAAATTTGTGTTCTTTCCAAACCATGTAGCCATGTTATTCCTAAGCTAGACAGAGAGGATGTCATTATTCAGAAGTGTCAGTCTACCAGTAAATTCACATGCAATTAAAAACCTATCATGCGTATTGTGCTGTTCTTGAGAAGTACCACAGAGCAGGATGCAGGATTTCAACCCTCTTTTCAAGGGTCAAAGATGCCTTCCAAGTTAAAACACCAGAAATGCCTGGGAAACTGAAGTTCTCTGTTAGGTGAACCAGTAGATATTTGACAATATTAAACAGGTCAAACAAAATAAAATAATTACTTTATCAAGTAATTATTGGATTGAGGGGATTTCAGAAGGTGTTCTCCCCTTCAGTGTTATCCAAGATCCTATGACCTGTTGGTTGAGAGGAAGACAATTCAGTAATGTGAAGGTGGTTTTGTATTCTTGTTCTCTAGGATCTGCTTCTGGCTCAAAAATGGCTCTGGAGGGTTCCTTCAGCTGCTGGAACGGAACGGCAATCAGGCTGGGGCAGGCGTGTGACTTCTTCAGGGACTGCGCCGAGGGAGAAGATGAGGGAGATATGTGCAGTGAGTAAATCCAACCCCGCCAGGCTGCATCCTCGTTTTCCAAAAGCATTGATTGTTTTGAATTTTAATACCTGAGGCTTTAGCACTAATAGAGTAACGCGGTGCTGTCAAAAGACCAGTATCCCCTCTAATACATGCAGTTTTCTTTGGATGTCTGCCTGCAGCGGACCAGTCGATATGTTCCTGTACTCACCTGCATTAGTTCTGCAGCAGGTTCTTAAAATGCTCATGGTGCTTCATCTCTTCCAAAGTCCTGATCAAAAATGCAAAGGAAGTATAGCTGAATAGCTAGATGCCTTACAGAATTATGAAATGTGTAGTTTGTTAGAGCTTTTAATCAAAATGTAGCACAGCATGTGGCAGAAGGGAGTGGAAGTAGAAAACTTCGAAGATGAAAAATGAGTAGAGCCGGTAGCTTGTCTTTGACCAACTCCTGTGTCTTTGTAATTCCTCTTGTTTTCTATCCTTTCTTCAGCAGACAGTAGTCTAATAAAATACAGCAGAAGATAGATAGCAGCTTCAGTTTTCTGAAAACTTGCTGTGCCTGAATACTTTGTAATTGCGCTGCATTACCTAGATGTTTAGGACCTTCCTCTAACTGTCTTGAAGCTGCCTTATCTCTTTTTCTATACTTCTACATGTTCTACCTTCAGCATCTTCCCCTTTGCCAGTCTACAGATAGTTAGGAGTGGTGGATTGTCAGCCATATGGTTATCTACAGGGTAAATAGATGAAGAAAAATAATTGTTGAGAGTTCATAATTTACCATATTAAAGTGCATGTGTCACAGCTGATGTAGCCTATGGACTTTTGCTGACAGAGCTGCATTGATTTGGTATGCAAAAAATGTGTTCCCTGACCAAAATACCAGTCCTGGCAAAAGCCTTTGGAATAGAAGAGACAGTTATTCTCAGTTTAGCTTTCATGTGCGACAGCTAGAGCAGGGGAGAGTCTGGGTAAGGTGATTCAAACAAGGTGTGTTAATATTGGTGATGTCTAGACTAACGTACCTTTGCTGTTTCTAGCATAAATTTAACATAGGAGTGACACACAGCTTCTAGCAAATTCCAGTTCTTTGCTGCTAAGAAAGAAAAAAAGTAACAGATTTTATTGGCGTGGAGAACCGTGGTTTGACCTGGGATCGTCTAGTAAAAAGCTTGAAATGATAGGCTTCTCCATCATGTTAGAGGTTGTTACAATTTGAAATTATGTTCATTAATGACACACACTTAGTGAACATTAAATGTACTTTCATAGGAACAGTGTCATTACTGTGGACTTGCAGCTCCTCAGAACCAATAATGCTTCATAGTAGTAGTATTGAAACCTTTTTTTTTTACCTAAGAGCTGTAAAAGAGAGCTCTAAAACCTCATAATGGTATTTTTTGTTGTGTTCTATACTTTAATTAAAAAAACCTAGTAAATTATGATAATCAGCAAGTTGAATGCATTTTCATTTCATTGGAAGTAGAGGGACACTTTATTTGCCATCAACTATATAGCATGTAAAAAGCAGAAGATATTTAACCACCTGTTTAGAAGAGCATCACTCCCTAGCTTGAGGAGAGGACCACAAGGCTTGTATTCAACCACAGGTACTGGGAATGCAAGTTCTTACTCCCATCCAAAAGGCCCAAAAAACACCATCTTCCATCCAAGCAACAAAAAAGAGTGGCTTGCCTTAGCAAGAGCTCAGGCTGTGGGTATGTCTGCTTATCCACTTACAAGCCTGCTCAGTTCTATGGCTGATTTCTCTGCTTTTGCCTCTTTACTGTGTTGAATATTGTTGGCATAAGACTTCTTACATAAAACAGGTTTGTGTGTGGTTTAGATGTCAGTTACATCTGCATGGCAGCCTAACACAAAACATGTCATCTTTCAGCATTTTAGTTGTCATTTTACTTCTGAGCAACATGGAGGTTTTCACCAGCTTTTTGCAAGTGTGGCAAAAAGTGATTTGGATATGTAAAGCAGAGAAAGGGGTTTCCCAAATGCTTCTGCTGACACAAAGGAGCTCTCAGAAAAAGATATAGCCATGCTCAAAACTGAGGGGAGATCTTTTACAATTACCATTAACCAAAGACTTCTATCTTTGAGCTTCAAGGAGATGTTGGAGTTGGTTTTTTTACCCTTTCACGGTCTTTTAGCTGTGCAGGTACCGATATTTTTTTTTCTTCTTATTCATTTGGTTTTTGTTTCTTTCTTTGCTGAAAAAAATCTCCCTAAAGCCTGCTGTTTGTTAACATCTTTTTACTTATTAATGGCCAATGAAATGTCACGGTGCTTGTTCTGCATGCAACCAATTAGTTTGTGTAGAGAGCATAAAATCAGAGAGGGATGACCCCTAGAGAAAAGCATGCTGCTGTTTGAGTTATAATCAAATATTCTTGCAGGAGCAAAAGACAGCTTCAAAGAGGCAGATGTGGAATTAGATGCCGAACTGTGTTGATTTGGGATCAGACATACAGATTTAACAGACTGATGGAAGTGCCACGCTGGAAATTACTTTGCAGAAGCATACTTTGCAGACACACATTAAGACTTCAGATAGTGGTGGTCTTATGTCTTTGCTAGTAAATTCATGCTTTTATGGATTATAACTTACTGCAAAAAAAATAACATACTCCTCTTATTGTAGTAATCATATGTATAATATACCCGATATGGTACAAGACGGAAATGAAAACTCAAATTATTTGCTAATACAGATTGGCAGAGCTCTGCTTTACAGAAAGAGAAAATTTGTTTCAGTAGTTTTGTACTTTTTAGTTAACAATATCTTGGATTTTGGTTCAGTAATCCTTTGTTGTGGGGCAGCAAGTCTGAGCAAAAATAAATATTTTTCTGAAAAAAAAGTGCATATACTTTTGACTAGTCAAAAATTATTTTACTTTCTGTCTCAAATTCACCAAAAAAGTTCAGCCTGGGAATATATTGGTTAATCAGTCAAAGCATGTTAGGTAAGTAATGGATGTATTTAAAAGAAAACATAAATCAAAAAGAATGGAGGTGCTGATAGTGTATTTATTATCTAGAGACCCAGAGCTTAGAGGATTCACTCAGGATATGACAAACCCAGGACTGATTCTTTCTTCTCCCTAAGCGAATTTGAACATATATTTCCTATTTCCATGCAGAGTTTCCAGGATTGTGGTCTGGAGTTCTGGTCTAGTTCAGAAGAAAATGGTTACCCAAGTCTCTCCTGGGGTTGCTCTTCCACATTTTATAAATTTTACCTGGAATAAGGATTGAAAGTAATGTCCTCCATCTTTCAAATAAATCTCATAAACACTGAGTTGCAGGGTAATTTTCACTCTTTGCCTCATTGAATATTTAAGGATGTTAAACACATTACGAGGTGAGATAAGGAAGACTAGTGTCTGATTCCTGAAAGGAGTGACTGAGGCTGTGCTGTGTGGTTGGAGGGGTGCATGCACACATCTCTCAAAAGACCAGATGGCAGCTAGAATAGGAACCTATAAAGTTTGAATTTGTGATAACATGAGCAAGTGACCAAAAAAGCATAGATAATTAATTCTACAGGGGCCAGTTTACTTTCCAGGCAAAAATGCATGAAGAAACCACTGGGTTAATTTATATCCTAGTGATAGATACAGCCCAGGAGAGTTTCCCTGCAAGCAAAATGATGAAGTAGCAACCTGTTGCCATGCTGTGCTCTCTTAAGGTTCCTGTCTTGCATACACTAGTCCTTTTGCTGCTTTCTTGATCAAAAGCTGTACTTCTAGCAACAAATTCTAACCTCTGGCAGTTCTGAACTCAGTAAAGCCTTCTGGCATTAAAGGATAACTCTTTGTTGACTGTGTTGAAAAGTATTTTCCCTTTTTATGCTTCATTTCTGGTAGAAATGGTTGGCTGACCAACTTTGCTAGTGTAGAGGCAGCTGTTGAAACAAACTCATGTTTAAGATTTATGTGCTGCTTTTTAAATTGTTTGAGTAGGTGATCTATTTGGCTCCTGAGATTTCCTCCTAAATTTGAAAAGTGTCCATTACATACCAGAGTAGTCTTTTATGCTTGTGTCCTTTATAATATGGGTCTGGAATTTCACCCAAAAGTTTAAACTGTACTATCTGGTTGATTTACACCTAGTTTTGAATTGAGAGCCTGCTCCATCCTCTTCATAAATTATTCCAGTTGCTAATTTTTCTTGCTATTAAAGGATGAAAAATCTGAGTTTAAAAAAAAAAAAAACAACTTTGAACTTATTCAGATTTTGCTTGGAAGGTAATTCATTCTGAAGGCTTGAAAATATTTGCTTAGGAGCAAGTTTAACACCCTGCAGCTTTTTTCTACTTCATCACTCAAATAAAATCAGAGACTCTTACGTTCTCACAGTGCTCCAGTCTCACTGGATTACTCTATTCCCTACCCTCTATCCCCAAGCTGCATTTTAATCATAGTAAGGTCTAAATCTTTTGAGGTCTCTGTCACTAATGATAATATGCAGCATGGCAGGTTTCAATAGACGATTTTCCAATAAAGTCAGATTAGCTTTCCCTCATCAGTGCAATGTCTGCGTTAATGCGAGTTTGAATTATAAACATTCAGAAAATTGAGAAGTACATGTTGACAGAGAAGTGCTACCCAAAGAGGTCTTTGTGGAGTAGCAATACATGGAATTGCAGGTGCTGTATGTATTCAAAGTAAGAAAGAGCAGCAGAGAAAATGCATCCAGTGCATGTGACATCTGAAAATTCATCAAAAATAAATTTGTGGAGGAGGAATGAAATTTTCTGGGAAAGTAATAGCTTCTTATTTATGCCCTTACTTGTTCATCGACAGTGAGCTTTTTCTGGCCTCCAGGCAGGGATTGCTACTTAGGTGACTCCTCCTGCTGCTCTGACTTGTTTACATCATCCTAGATAGTGTATGGCTGTGAAATGAATTCATGGCCATGGACACTGAGCCAAGCTGTTTCAGTAGGAATTCAGAGCACATTATAATTTGTCATTTTCTTTGGATCCCAGCCTCGGGCTGTGCAATGAAATATAATCAAGTTCTGTAGAGGGGTAAAACACAAGGAAGCAACTCTCTGCTTGATAGCTCCACGTTTAAAGACCAGGCTGAATGAATTTGGAGATTTTTAAAAAGAAAAACTTGAAAAAGCCTTAACTCCAGTACAGGTTTTGATCTTGTCATAAAAGCTTTGGGTGCTTGCAGAAAACAACAGTAGAACATGGCTCTCAGGCTCTCACCTCCATGTCAGGTTCCAGGTTCAAATTTGGCCCTGCTAAAAAGCCACAGACATAAGATTTGTTTCAGTTTCCTCTGTGAAATGAGCTGTGATTCAGGCTCCTAGAAAAATCACATATTTCTGGTCTAGATGCTGCAGTTCTGGTATTCCCCAGCTGTTTTCCCAGGGTAGACCAAGGAGCAGATGCATATGCCGCTGACAATGAATTGCCTTTTGAGGTGTGTGAATCAAAGCTGAGGCCCTGCAAGCAGGTATTTAATTGACCTGCAGTCTCAGCCAGGGGAGCCTGCCGATACTTAAACATTTTGAATGATCTGGAGTTTGAATACTGGTGCCTTGGTGTCTGACGGCCACTTTATAGATAGAAGATTGGGGAGGGGAAAATTTTTAATAATCACAACAAAATATGAGTTCAGGAGCCTCCTCTTCTCATAGAGAAGCTATTGAAATTGCCAGTATCACCTGACCAGCAGATTTTCTTGCTTTAGGAGTTTGTAGTCTATCCTGCAGTTTGTAAATGAAGAAATTTTTACTTTGATTTTAACAAGCAGTTGAAAGGAAAAACTAAATTCCTAGATATCAGGATTTATAATGTGTTTGCACATGGAATTTAGTTTTTATTTTGCAGTTTTAAGCAGATTTCTCGTATCGTTTTCCTTTCTTTCAAAAAATAAAATTAAAAAAAAACACAACGAAAAACCAAAGCTAGTTTTAGGGGAAATTTAAAGAAACAGAGAAGGGGAAAACAAACATGGGCTAAACTGGTTTTTAGTACAGATTTGACTACACAATGGTGTAAAAACAGAAGTCAGGAATACCATCATTCCTTTTATGGCTACATCTGTTCACAGCAGCTTTTCTAGGTTATTGGAAGAAGGACCACCCCCGCTGAACAAGTGTGTTCAGGGGCTTTGTACTGCCAGCCCCAAGGACTGGTTAGTCCGTATAGCAGGGTAAATTGACTGGTCGGTCTTTACTTCTCTTCTGGCATCTTTAATGCCTAAAGTAACTCTATATTAAAAGGGCACCTTTTTCACCCAGGCTGCCTTTGTGCTCTACCTTTTTCCCCATAAACCCCAGTTTGTACCTGTTTGTTACTGGGAAGCCTTCTGGTACCTGGCAGAGTTGTCAGCTGCACCCTGGGTGTAGAATCTGTTTTGAGGATCATTAGTGATGCACTAGAGGTGAAAATTGTGTTATAGTGGTAGTGTTTTTGCATGGCATTTTACAAGGTCCAATTTCTGCCGAGGTTACTTAATAAATACAGAATCTGGCCTCACGTTGAAGAAGAGAAATGCAAAGGTAGAACTACACAACAGTAGAAATTAGGGAGGAGGCAGTGAGGGTTTATTGAGGATGATGGGAAAGATATTTCATGAGTTTGAAGGAAATCGGTGATTCATGGCCAAGTAGAGAATGTTGACGTATGGCAATATAAGTGTGTGGCTCAGGGCAAAAGGAGCAGGACTTGCACCTTTTGTAAGAAGAATGTGCAATGTAGGTAGAGAAGGCGATGGAAGGCATGAAGTTACTTTCTGCTTTGAATGAAATGACTATTACTTTAAAACTGGTTGATTTAAAGGCAAAAAGCTAGTGTATTTTTATTGTTTGAAGCTGGAAACTTGCCTGAAATCCTAAGCTAGTGACAGAATGAGTGGGCTTCAAAGCCTGAAAGTATGGTTTAAAATAAACTATCCTCTTTTCATCCATTCATCTCACCAGATTCACAGGTGCAAAAGGTGAGGCACAAAGACGAGATCGTGTTGCTGAGCTGGGTTCACTAGAGACCTAGACTGTAAGGGAGGGAAGTCATGTTAGGAACTTATCCCTCTCCAAGATTTCCTTCTGTGGGGCTGCAGGAGCAGTGGTTAAGAAAGCCATCTCCAAGATATAACCTTGAGTGGGTTTATACCTGCGGAGCTGTAGAGGCCAGGTATTTAGGAGTCCCCATAATGTACGTTGAGATGTGTCCTCTCACTTGGGTTTGCCAAAGTGTGGGGGGAGTCACTTGGTCACAGTCTGGGTGTTGTTTCCCTTGCCACCACCCTCCCCACGGTTAGGCATGTGCATGACTCCACATGAAAGGACTGAGTAGCTGTGGGGGTGCCTTCATGCCATGGGCAAATGGGGTCAGAATAGTCACTGCAGCTTCTCTGTGTGCCCAGGAGTCTCCTCAGCTCACCTGGGTTCTGCTGTATGTCTGTGTGTCTTTCCCTCTTGCAGAAAAGCTTCCCTCTGGCTTTTACTGTTCATTTGAAGAAGGGGACTGTGGCTGGATGCAGGGCTCCTCTGCATCCCATCCTTCTCCATGGCGGATTGGAAGCCCAGAGCACAGCCGTTTTCCTTTAGTAGAAGGTGCGTGAGAGTAAATAGTAAGTGCAGAGAATGAACAGCAGAGAGCAAAAAAGATACACAAATGGTGGGATGGGGGAATAAAACACAAGGCACATTTTCCTGTGTTCTTACATATTCAGCCTCAAGTGAAAAAAAGCTCTCTTTCTGCTCTAAGTGCTTTGAGAGAAAAAAAAAAATCACTTCCTGTCTTGAGGATATACACTGGTACTTCACGTCTCCACAACTGACACCAGATACTAATCTTGACCCTTTCTAAACAACTTCACACCAAGTATTCATCTGCATGACCTTCCTCCACACTGATCTGATTTTTTTCTTTCTGATTTTCTTATTTATTTCCTCTGTTTCTCTGTTCTGCTTCTTTTTTCCCCTTCTCATTTCCTTACTTTTCTTCTCTTTGCTCTGTTGTCCCTTGAGTTCCACTTCTATATATAATTACTGTATACTTGGTTCCTCTAGCCCAATCCCAGTACTTCGTGTCTAATCCTTCTCGTACAAACCATTGAAGGTTTATACCTTGGGCATTGAACTGGTTGAGTTTTTGAACCATTGAACTGCTGGTTGAGTTTTGGGAAATCGGCCACCTGCCAAGATAAGCTTTTTCCTGATGCAATTATATAAATCATTGGAGGCATTTATAGCTGAGGCACAGAGCATCTAAAAGGATACAATAATAACAGCAGAGTTAATGGTGTATAATCCCAACCTTGCTTTAGAAAGTTAGATCCAGATTTAAACGTGAAGAGTAAGATTCTCTACTTTTGTGGTAGAGGCTTATACTCTACTTATACTGGTATAGGCTACAGTGCATTTATGCCATCTGATGGCTCAGCCCATAGCATTACAGACCACAGAGTGATGGAAGCATAGGTAAACATTAAGGCAAAGAGCTAGAAAGAGGGTACTATGGGGGGCTGGCAATAAAGGGCTGCTGATTCATGATTTGTCTATGCCATAGCGGCAATTTCAATGAAAGCCCAAATAACTGGGCTCTAAGTAGTGGTACCTTCCTGAACTGGAGGGCGGAGCTGAAGTAGTGCAAATACACACCTTTTCACGCAGAGCTGCCAAGGAAAACTCCTGGTGTTATACTGCCCTTGTTCCACTTGTTACAACAAATGATTAAAGGAGCAGAGAGGCCTCCAGCTGCATTAATACTACTCTGGTGGTATTTTGCCATGGTTGTATTTTGTTTTGGGATTAGACAAGATAAATATTCTCTTCCAAGGTACTTTTTGTTCATAAAAGATACATTTTGTTATTCAGCCTTGCAAGGAGAATGAATCTGAAGTCATGGAGGAACAGAAGATAGCTGTAGGGGGAAGTTAGACAGACTTCCTAAATGTGTTTTCTGTGTTGGGTGAAGCTGCATCCTTAATAAATTGAAAAAGCCTTCTGCTCTCTGGCATTCTCCTGTAGTGGGAGCCAGCTAACGTAGGTTCTGGGGAGGTTTCACAAACCCTGAAACCAGAAGGTGGTTTGCAGTTTGACCTTCTTCCTGCTCTTTTATCCAGGTTGTGCACTCCTTCTTAACACCAGCAAAGCACCAGCAGTAGCAAACGCTGTCATGACCAGCACTGCATTTCCAGCTCCTTTGAGGAACTCCCCCTGCAAGGCAAGTCCTAATGTTCTCTTTTCTTTTGCAATTTACAGAGCTTTTTTGTGTGTCTGACTCTGGTTTTCAAATATAGGCACTAGGTCAGTAGCACAGAAACGACTTTCTCTGTTGGCTTATCTATAAAATGTACTTGTTTAATGCCCCTGTGTGCAGGGGAAGGATGTGATTATCTGCTTGAAATGCCACAAACTGTGCTCTGAAAAGCTTAGCATATCTTGTCCTCATTGTATGGCCTCATATGATGTATTATAATCTTCATGATTTAGGTGTGTGTGCTGTAAGGGTGGGGCAGCCAGCATTACATAAATGCAAAGAGGAGGAAGTTTACTGTGTGAACAAACCCTGTATTTGCAAGATCTGAGAAAGAATAGGCTTCAGAACTGCCCCTGAGCTGCTCAGAAAATACAGTGCATGCTTTCTCTAGCACAGCTGGGATTTGAGCTGGCAGGTCTTCATCATGCTGCACCTCAAACCTACCAATCCTCATGTAGGCCTTGTTCATAGCTGTGCTGAAGTTAGTAGCAGCAGAGATAAATTCATGTGGAATGGAACTGGGTTCTTATTCAAGCAGAAAAGCTGTTGACAGTCATAAGACGTAAGTAAATATATCAAGGCTTGCCAACCCTGCACAAATCGTTGTAATTTCTGAGTCAGTAGAACTTAACCCTTAAACTGCAGATTACAGAAAGATGACCTGTCTGCATCTTTTTAATTTAGTCTATAGCGTCACAGATTATATTACCACTGATAGGATTTATTAATGACTTAGGACTTTGAACCATGGCTAGTGACTTGGAGCATTTCATATCTTGAACGGTCACCCTGAGATGTCACACAAGCTCCTGGTTCCTGGAGCAGAAGGATTTGGGATAATTGATCCTAACAAAGCACAGTTTGGTGTTTGTTGGTTGAGCACTGAACAGACAAAAGAACCAGATTTTCCTCGTTCCACTGATCTTAAAATGCAGAAGGGACAAGAAGGCATGTGTTAGAAAGTTCTCTGGAATGAAAGTACATAGAAGATGGTGTTTCTTTGTCTTAAAGTTTGGTTTGGTTCACTTCTGTTGGGTATTTCAGTTCATATAGCAAAAAGTGCATCTGGTTTTGCTCTCTTGATATATTCATGTCCTCCTTCTTTAGGAAATACATTCTACCTTGTTTTTCCTCCCTTCTGTGACAAAGGCATATGCAGGTTCTGAATATTTTAAGACCTTGTTCTGCCATGGACCAGCAAGAGCGAGTGTTTTTCATAATACACCTGACACAGGAATCAGAGTGAATGATTTCCCAATATGTGTATATTTTTTTCTTGTGTATACAACAGTGCAAATAATTAAACTTGCCATCAGGGGAGAGGCTGCCATGTATTTCATCTGCTCACATGCCATCCCACCTCCGTCACTCCCCTTGGCACTTAAAAGGCATCCGGACGCATCCAGCATTGCAGCTGTCGGTAATAAAGAGTGAAGGAGTTTGGCAAGGGTTTTGTCTCTTGCCTTTTCATATAGTGTAAAAGCTTCTCTTCTCAATGAGCCCCTGGTGGCTTCAAATTCTATTTTACTGGAACAATCTGTCTGTGAGCAGAATAATTTAATTCCACTTTTCAGCACAACACAAGAGGAGAAAGGAGATGTTCCCCCCCTACGCACTTATTCCTCCAATAGGTGCCAACAAACTTCCTTATAGTGAAATTATAGTCAGAAAAGAGGTTGTGAAAATACCATAATGCTGTCCTGTATTTATTCACCCTCAATCACGTCTTGATTTAACTGGCTCAAGTTCAGGCACTAAAAGATGAGTTTTCTTCTACCTGTCACTGCTGACAGCTCCACCTGGCATGTCACAACCAGGACAGATTCTCTGGCAACTGAAATCCCACTGACAAAACTCGCTCCTGATTCATGTGGCAAAGAGATATCAGCAAGTGTGTGCAAATTAGGCCCATTTATTCTTCCACAGTCAGAGCAAGCCATAAACCTGCCCTCCCTCTTGTATTTGATCCAGCTCACATGATCCTTTAGATATCTGCATGCTCTCCTTGTGTGTTCACTTACAGAGTGGCTTGTTCTGACAGCTGGTTCCAGTACCCCAGAGAGATTTGGCTCAGATTCATGTCCTGCGCCAATATATATTCATGATGAGGGCTGTCCTTAAGCTTTGTCATCCTTCCTCCTCCTTGTATGCCATGTCTACCCCAATATCAACATGCTCAGCTCAGCTAAACTCCTGGGGGTCCCTCAGCCTGGCTGTTTAATCTTCCACTGTGGTAGAGTAGCAACAGAGATAACTGAACAGTCTGACAAAATGACTGCCAACACTCTGGAGACTTGTGAGGTGGCCTGGTCCAAATACCTTCCCTGCTGGGGTTGTGGGCAGCTGTTTGCAGTAGTGCTGACACTAGCACTTGGAGACTACAGAGCCTGGGTGATCTTTGGCATACGTGTTGCTGCTAAGTGCAGGACAAGCGTGACCCTCCATCTTTGTTCTCTCCCAAACTTGAGGTCAGTCACCAGGAGTGTGCTGGGCTGCTTTGAGGCTGCGCTCCTCTAGCGTTTCCCATGTCCTGTGGTAGGCTCCTCATTCACTCAGAAAGGAAAAAATCAGCCTGACCTACTCTGTACTGCCCCACATGCATCAAAAGATGAGAAGAAGGTAAAAAAGCATGCAGGGGATACAGTAATAAACACAGCTTGTTCTTTCCCATGCGTTTGGGATTGTCCCTAATGTGCCTTGCACTTTGTGTATAGCTTTGTATTGCACTTTGCTCCTGTTTGTTTTGAGCGGCTTTATATTTTCATTTTCTTTGTTCTTCAGTGCTTTTGGCAGGTCAGAGTGGTTAGTTTGTGATGCTGCCCTTTGTTCTTGGTTCAGTTAGTTTTTCTCTTTCTTTTTGTTGTTTTATTAAATCTTGGCTAGAGTATCCTGGCTTCAAAGAATCTTTTGTTTGCAGTCGAGACAGTCTTTGTTATCTTTTTCATGTTGCACATTTGGTAGAGTCCTCTGCCTATTGACCTCATTAACTGTGCATTTAAAACCCAATTGGTGTGGTAAAGGGAAGCTGTGGCATTTCTTCTAAATCTTGGGGGAATGCAGCAAGTGGTACGCATAGTCCATGAAGAGATGCTCCATTACCCTGAAGTAGCCAGAAAAGAGAGAACCAAAAAAAAGCTCGGGAAGTGCTTAAGGAACCAAACAGAGGCCAGTAATCAAGAGTGAAAATCATTTAACCCACATGTAAAAGTTCATTGGAAACAAAGCATGTGTAGTTGAGCATAGGAATGCACATAAAGTACAAAGAATTAGTCCAAACAGTGACCTGATTTAAAGGCATAATTTATAGAGCTTGAGCAATAGAGCACAGGATTATTTGCCCCTTCTTTTCACACTGATTCCCCTCTGAGTGGGAATCAGTTGGCCTGCAGAAGGCCAACAGAGTAAAGAGGTTCATGGGGTGGTTAGACATTTCCTCATTTTGAAGAAGAAATCCATATGCATGTCATCAGTAGCAGTACTGCTGTGTGGGAATCTGGGAAACCACATTGCAATTAAAGTCCAAAGGAAGTGCTGTCATCTCAGGTACCACCCATGGCAAAACTAAATTGCTTTGCCACAGTTGATAGCCTCTAGGTGTGCACAGTTTCCAGACTATAATGGGCACCTACTTCTCAGTACTTCGAAAGACGTCAGAGAGCTGACACAAGAGTGTTGCAGATGTCCAGGGAGCACTCACCTTCATGTGGAAGCTGGAGACTCAGTTCTGCTCCCCCACATCTGGATAACGAGGCAGTCCCATCTCCGTCAGTCCCAGCAGTGTTGCTGAACAAGTGCAGTCTCACATGTGTTGACTTGCTTTTCATTCCATTTTTCAGAGATGCTCCCTGCCATCTGCATCCTCAGGCTTTGAAGAATACTGTGGTGCCTGTAGATCATAAAGTCATACCTGTATCTTCCCAAAGTGTTTGGGCTTCTGTCATAAAAAGATGTAAGACCAGGTCCAGGACTACTGCATTCCATGAGGGCTTGGTACAGTGTGTACCTGCCTGGGCAGTAGTAGGTATACCTATCCTGCAAGATTTTGTTTTGTGGTGGATTGTGACTATTAGTTCTGTTTGAAAGTCACTGCAGAACCATGAACAGAGACTGATTTTTAGAAGGGCCATGCTTTGCTCAACACAGGGAATTTGTGATAGACCTTAGTGCCGTATCTGAGAAGTAAATGCTGTGCATGCGGTTTTGGCATAGGCTGTAATAGAGAAGGAGAATAACAACAGAGGTGGTGTTGCATGGGTGGTGATGAACTTGAAATTAGCCTTAAATGTTATTGCATGCATCTCCAGAAAAGAAGGTGACTCTTTGCAAGAGGGACTACATTGTGATTGGGAACCAGATTATTTCATTTTTCTGTTAGATCCTGGGTCAAACATTTGAAAGGGTATAGTTGTGCTGAAAAACACTGAAGACAGATTCCTGCGATAGTAAAAGAGCTTTGTGCTTTTGGCCATATTTAAAATAATGAAAATCTTTTTCTGATGCTATTTTGACATTTCAGCTAGCTATTTCTTGAAAGCCACCATTATGTTATGTAAGTAAGTACTAAACTAAGCCAGACTTCTTTTAAACCTGAAATTACTTTTTGAATGTAAACATGCTCTCTCTAGAAAATAAATACGTGTTGATGTAAAACAGCATAGTTGAAGTTTACCCTCTCATTCAGGTTTATAGAAATAAGGATGTTTTCATCCTCTGTTGTTATTAATTCAGTTCTCTTTTCTATGCAAAAGTGTTGTGGGTTTTTTTTAAAGCATGTAAATCAATAATATAAATCATTCCTTGAGTACATTCTGAGCCCCATGCTGACACCTGCAGAGTGTGTGTCTCTTTCTCCTCTATTCCTTGAGCTTTAAATAACTTAGAAGGGTACATAGTAATAACATTGACTCAGAACATTTATGAGCATGAAAAATGCAGCACTGATACGCCTCTAGCACAGCCTTTCA